CATGAGTTCAAGGCTAGATTCAAGAATATTACAAAGAGAAATTTCATGACATTTGCAAGAATGTCACATTTGTTACAAAATCCGAACTCTTGGTAATGCTTAGGAAATTAAGCTATTTCTAGTCTTAATTCAAGTTTCTAAAAATAACTTCATGCCATGGTATCCCCCATGCCCCATCAAGTCCACATGGTACTCTTTGTGCTTACAAACATGCAAGGAAATTACTTAAGAGTTAATTCAACAATGGAATATCTCAAGATCAAGGCTATGCGTGCATTCATGGGCAATTTGAATATGGTCCAAAACAGCCCCATGCAAGAAGTGGCAATGTGTATCATATTACAAAATCATTTGATGTCACAAAACCAAGGCTATAAGCTTATGTTGATACATCTACACATCAAAAATCAGAATTTGAAAATGATGTCCAAAAGGTAGTGTTATTGGTTACATGAGTATGTCCAAACAAATCAACCAACCAATGGGTACAAGGATGAATAGAAAGGTAGAGTGCTGCAGAAGAAAATACAAAAAAAAACATACTAGAAATGGAAGGAAAGTGGGGCTGCACCAAAAGTGGTAAAAGATATTGCCAAGAATGGAAATTCTGAAAATGGAGAAGTGTGCAAGAGCCGTGGTTTTGGTACATCAGAAAAAGGCAGCAGAAATAGTGAGATAAGGAGGGAAGGAGCTGCAAACAAACTATCATTCACTATCATTCATAACACATTGAGATAGAGATTGAGAGCAAAGAAAACCCTAAAAAAAACAAGAAAAATAGAGAGAGCAAAAACCAGCCAAAGATTAAGAAAGTAAAAGAGAAATACAAGGGAGCCATTGAGAAGGAGAGCCATCAAAGCATAAAGTGAAGAGAAGTGAACACCTAGCCAAAATCAGTGGAGGCTTTGCAAGGAGGGTAACAACTCTTGGGTATCCATTCCTTAAAACTTTTTTCTTCTTTTATATTGTGCATTTGTCATTTATTCTCTTTGTTTGAGTGTTGTTGTGCTGTGTATAACATGTAAGATCCCAAGGGGGACCAAGAAACCTTTTGAAAAAACCCAAGAAGGAAGGAAAAACAAAGAAAAAAGTCAGATTTTACACAGCAGGGCTGACACGGGCCGTGTCATGCAACACGGGCGACCGTGTCACGCCACTGCTTAACGTTTCTTGGTCCAAACCTTGTGACACGGGCCGTGTCATGCAACACGGGCGGCCGTGTCACACCGTTGTTTGACTCAAAACTCATTTTTTTCCTGGAACTGTGACACGGGCCGTGTCACACGACACGGCCGCCCGTGTCAGACCCCTGTTTTTCACGTTTTTTCGACTTTTTTACCTCAAAAAAAATTTTCTCAAGGAGTTCGCCGTTTTTTTTATTTTGTTTTTTTAAGCCGGTTAACCCGTTGTGATTGTTTGGTTTTTGTGCATGTTTATTGTTGGTCATTTTTGACCTTTGGTTCTAAAAACTATTTTCAAGAAAACAAACTCTCGATTCTCATCGAGCCATTTTTGACCTTGTAAGCCGATTGCCTTGTGCGTCGCCATCGACCTTGCTCACTTCACCTCAAATCTTTTTAAGCAACTAAAACCCTTGACCCAACGTCAAGCGGATTTTCTCAAATAATGGTTAAACCAACTCACCATATTTAACAAAAGGATAAAGTTCACTTTATATTGAACTAAAGAGAGGGGATTGAGTGTAGACTTCTTCCTCTCCGAGTGTCGAGATGCTCACTGTAGTGTGGGTGGTTTTGATACTCGTCTTTCAATACGAAGACGTTTTCATCCACACCTTTTTCTCCTAAAAAACCTCGGTCCCGTACCGAGTGCATTTTCAAAACACTTACAATAAATAAATCGATTCTCTTTGTATTGAACTAAAGAGAGAGGATTGAGTGTAGACTTCTTCCTCTCCGAGTGTTGGGATATTCATTGTAGTGTGGGTGGTTTCGATACTCGTCTTTCAATACGAAGACGTGACTCTATCCGCCACCTATCTCCTTCTACAACTTCCTTCCGCAACTTTCCCCACCTAAAATCCCGGTCCCGCACCGAGCGCATTTTCAAACTTATTTTCGTAACAAAACTTGAACGATTGTGGAGTGGTTAGGCGTAGGCCTTCTCCTATCCCGAGTGCTGACGTCTACCGTAGGGTTCTCCGTCGCGAAACCACTTACCATTCAAAACCAAAAACACTTTAATAAGAGAATGAAGTTCTCTTCGTATTGAACTAAAGAGAGAGGATTAAATGTAGACTTCTTCCTCTCCGAGTGTCGAGATGCTCACTGTAGCGTGTGTGGTTTTGATACTCGTCTTTCAATACGAAGACGCTATGTTCGCCACACCCTTTCATAACAAAAACTTTGAGATAAAGAATTGGGTACTACCCGTAGGGGTTACTATCCGAGGACCTATCTCGCCCCTAAAAAACAATTCAACAAATCAAATGTGACATCTTGCCTCACATGGCGAAAACTAATCTTTCAAAAAGGATATGATACGTCCGTTCTACCGCAAACAGGTAATGCCTAAGTCTCCAATGAGCGAGCAACAATACACCTAACTGCTAGAATGCGTACGATAGAATCATCCATAAAGTCATCAACAAATCGTAGGCCGAACTATGACTGCTCTGATTTCTCATACCAGATGAGGATACGAAGGCACAAGGCGGTGATGTCTTGGCGAGCACAATCTCTCATATCAGTAGTTTCTCGAACTACGTCGACTCTGATTTTCTCATATCCGTTGAAAATACGTAGGCATAGGACCGCGAAGTCCTACCGAGTCTGTTCTTTCTCTTCTTCCCCCATTTACCTCTCTTTCCCCGTTTCTAACCCTTTTTTTTACCCTTCGGAACACTCTTCATAGTAAAATCTTTAAGCAAATATAATCACACACGACAAACAAATGGTTCCCATCGAGTACGATGGATGCGAGGGGTGCTAATACATTTCCTTCGCATAACCGACTTCCGAACCTGTTCATGGTTGCGATACCATCTTATCTGTTCTTTTCTTAAGGTTTTCTCGATATTTTCCTTTCCCCTCGTGGGATAAATAAAGTTCGGTGGCGACTCTTCTGTCCTTTTCCTTTTCGCCTTCCCCGTCGTTGCGCGTATTTTTTGAGTAGCGACAATAGGTTGTTACCATCAGCATAGCAGGATCTAAGTCAGAATTATTTTCTACCATGTTAGCTCCATCTACACTAGTATTGGTTTGCTTTCCCTTTCCCAGCCAGCAATCAATTGCAAAGTAACCATACGTCTCACAGCTAAAATATTGGATATTTTTCTTGCCGTGAACCTTTTTCTTGTTTTGAATTTTGTTAAACCCTCACCCTCCTTTAGAGGATTCGGGTTTATCTTCAATCTTCTTCTCTTTACTGTTTTGAGTGGCTTCTTTCTGGCATTTTCATTTTCCCTACTTCCATTTCTTTTTCATATCATCAAAATCTCCTTTATTTGAGTGAGCAATCAATGCATGTTTTAAATCTTTCTCCACATCTCTTTGATTCAATCTCAGCTCTCTGACTTCAAGAGATCTTTGCAGATCATCCATTCTCATTCTACTCAGGTCCTTGTTTTTCTCAACTTTTATTACTATCATATCATATTGAGGAGTGAGTCTTCGAAGTACCTTCTCAACTTTCATTTGTTCTGTCAAAGTCTCTATAGAATTCTTCATTTGATTGGTTAATTCTTGAACCTTCGTGAAGAAATCTTCCACCGACTCGCCTTCTTTTATCTGTAGCATTTCATATTGCTTTCTCGGAGGTTAAAGGCACACCTTCTTGAGCTTCGCATCTCCACCATAGTACTTTTCAAGCATGTCCATGCTTCTTTCGATGTTGGAGCGTGAGAGATTTTATCAAACACATTTGCTTCAAGACGTTGGTGAATATAAAATAGTGCATTCTGATCTTATTTCTTCGCCTCCTTGAATGCCAATTTCTGAGCTTCTATAGCATTCTCTGCTAACAACTGAAGCCCATCTGTGACATACTCAGATACATCTTAAACATTGAAGATCACTCTCATTTGAATTACTACAAAGACAACAATATGAAGTTATAAAAACCAACTTACCAAGCAGTAGATAAGTTGTAAACATTTACGATAGTGCAGAAAAAATTAAATGAGTTGCGTTTGATGGGTCACTTTAATTAAACATACCAATTTTCTTTAATTTGCATATATAAATATATTGTTAATAAGTTTTTAAAAAATTTAATGATAGTATTTTTTTTTAATAAAAAAATCACTTAAAAAAATTGATAGTGGACTGACTTGAAGTCTAATAGACTAGTCAAGTCCAGCCCTATATAGGCTAGATATGTTGAAATCAAAAAGACCTTTTCTTTTTCTTCTTGTTTTTATTGTTTAGAGTACAAACTCAGATTTTAAAACATATGAATAAACTAATTATAATTGATTTATAAATAAAAACTGATTTAAACTGAACTGAAATTACTCTGGCGGTTAATTTTTATTAAAAACTAAACCGAATCATTAATGTAATTCGATTAAGTGGAGTTCATATACCACAAACAGTCTTCATGCTTTCATACAAAGTTACACACTTAGCTTCATATCATCATTTCAACAATTACTAATGTTGTTTCATAAGATCACAAAACAGAAATTATCTGTCAAAATTTCACAGAAAACAATTTTATAATATAAATTCTCACTGCAAAAATAAATAAATGAAAACAGTGCAAAAGATGTCATTCTTAGCAATAGTTTTTTGAACTCATGTATCTGTGCTGTGAGGACCAGTATCAGGAGTAATAATAATAATAATTTTATGGAATTAATAATGAATGGAAAAGGAAAATAAAGAGAGAGAAAGGGAGAGGGAATTTGTTCTTGAAAGTTAAAGCTATTATCCCAACCCTTGGACTTCGAGGAGAGAAAAATTTACAGTTGGAATACATATTCAAGAGATGGTGAGGAACTTCAATTGATATATATATTATGTAGAAAAACTCTCAATCTAGCCATTTACAATACCAGTACCAAAATCACCACCTCCTTTAATTGATACGGTGGGAGCTCGGGAATTATGCGAATCAAGATACACAACTATGACTGTGATGTCGTCATGGAAATGTCTCCGTACACCACGATCAATCTTTTTCAAGTCTGAGTATCTCATTTCTCTTTTCTTTGCAGCTTCACAAAGCGCCGATTTGATAAGTTTCCTCGCTACTCCCTGTATAATACACAGCATCAAATACACAACATTGAATAAATAGCAGATCAGAAGATACTTTTCTGAGAACTGGAAAAAATATCGACTAAATTAGAATCGTACATTGCGTGGACAGCTTTGGACAATGTCAACTGCTTCTTGATTGCTCATGTGCTCCCATAATCCATCTGATGCGAATATAATAAATTGATCACTAGGTTCTAGTTTCTGTACTTGTATTGTTGGTTCGGCTTTTAGGATTGGCGTTTCAAAGGGTTCTGAGAGCCGGAATTTCGGCAACAGTGGTGCTTGGTTGAACTCTTTGTTCTTTAGATAGGCGTCACCAATGGATCTTGAAATCTACAATATCAATAAAAAATTTGGTCGACACAATTTTATGATTTTCTGAACACATCCATGAACACAGATCTCAAACATGTGTATCAACTTAGAATTACAAATCATAATTTTCCGAATACACTAACACAAGCATTGAATGTATGTGTGCGTGTGTGTATCGCTACATGAAAAGAGAAAATAAAACTTGAGATAAAGCATTTAAAAACGTTACCTGAATGAGACCCTTCACGCGCCAGACCGTGTGCTTCATCATTACGATCTGCGGATCATTGGGATGCAATGAGCGTAGCTCTTCTCTGACAGATTCCAGGCTAGCATTGTGCTCATAAGATAGTTGAACCGCTTTAACCTCTTTTGTAGCCTCGTCCATTCTGCCTAACACTGCTCGAGAATCTCCTGCATTTGCAGTATAGAGCTCTCCGTTATATATTAAGCCTACCAAACAGCAAGCTCCAACGGAGGCTATCTGTGGCTTGTGTTGCCACTGCTTCTTCACCAGAGCAAGAAATTCTTCTTCTGTTGCCAAAAATGCTTTCGTGATAACATCCGCCGACATTCCCTGGTTTTCTGCAGTGAACTCTGCATTAAGATCAGCAAGAATTCAGAAATCATATCAACGAGGTAAATGAATGAAAAGTAATCTGAAATTTATCAATCTTTTGAGCCATTTTACTCGGACTTCAATTTGAACAAGTTTAATAAATAAAAAGAGTTCTGTAAAAGTCTTTGTCTATTGGTTTCAACAAGCAAGCAAAGTGCTACCTAGTGACAGTTCGAATGCAAGTCAGTGTTTTCAAATATCAGCCATGGCAGCATCATGGTGATTTTTCAACAACCGGCATTGCCAAAATTTTAAAAGGTGGCAAAACCATGGAGCAGTATTATCAAATAGTGGTGTCATGGCCGCTAAGGCGGATACATGGTACTTTTTGGGCTCGCCACAATGGTAAATATCGGCCGATATTGCGGTTTTTTTGTCACAGTCCACTATAACGGCGCCGCAAAGCAGCTGGTATGGCGGGTTTTTAACTCTCCGGCATGGACCGCCATTCACCATCGACAGCACTACCATGGAGGATTTCTGACTTTCCATCATCGACAATAGATAACAATGAAACAAAATTTATAACCAATGATCAAATTATTTGATTAAAAAATCAGTTCATCCGTTGAAACTAGTTATCATCCATCCATCTTCCATTTGATGCCAAAAACAATCATACACCGAAACAAATTGTGCTTTTAGAAACTTGTGGACAAAGAGGGACAAAACCCCTCTATAGCTAAAGATCACAGTCATACCGCAAAATAACAAGAATGCAAAGGAAAAAATGGCAAGGAAAGCAAAATTATGTTGCAGGGTGAAGATAAAAGAAGAACGTACTCTTGATATGTTTAAATAGGCGATCATTGACAAACCGAGCAGTTTCTGGGCCTCCATGGCCATCATAAACACCAACAAAAGTACCATGAGGAGTTCCTTCATTTAAGCTCATGGGTCCTGATTCAACCTGGCTATGATCCTCCAACAAATTATTTGCTTGAATAACCGCCATTGAGAATTCACCATTTGCATGTCTTCCCGAATCTTTATACCACAACAAACCATCAGATCGTCCACTTGCATCGCCATACCTACTCGAATCCCCCTCACTAGACGGCCTCCAACAGGGTGACACAATGCGCCTAATTGTAGCCGATACCATGCCTTACATAACCTCACTCACACCACAACTGAGCAACAAATATATCATCAAATAAAAGTCAATTACAATATTACAATACAAAAAAATTACCTAGTTTTTTTTTCTATCTTATCTACACCATCTACGTTACTGATCCCAAGTCAGTATCAAAAGCTCCAGAAATCAAATGCCTACTAATCAATACTGACACCATAATAACATGTAAAAGTGGAAACCATCAAACACCTTGTTGTTATTTCCAACAATGTCCAAAACCTGCACAAGGTTTCAGATCAAAATCAATAAATACATACACATACACCCCATCATTAACCATGAACCAAATCAATTCAAAAATGATGGTTTCATTCGCTTACACAAATCAACAAACAGATGGCATGCATCAACATTTATCAACAAAAACAATCATATTCAAATTCTTCAAACATGTAAAAATAAAAACATCACATGTATTATAGATTGAAAAAGATTGATTTTTTTCCATAGTACCTTAGATAGAATATATGATGGGAAATTGATTTAAGGTTTGGACGTGAAAAGGAGTTGAGAAAGATGAAAACTTGATTTGTAGATTTGAAAGGGTATTATGTTATGTGGTATATGGTTTTTTTTTTCTCTTTCCTAATTGTTTGTCATAAAAAGGAATTAAACACAAGAAAAACAAACAAAACAATTGACTCGGTTTGATTTGGTGGTAGGGGAATTTTCCAAGGGCTTTTGGCTTTTTGAGGTTGATTTGATTTTTTCTTTTTTTTCTTTTTTTTCTTTTTTTTCTTCTATTCTTTTAATGTATTGGTGGGGTTTTGACTTTGACCTCTAACCAACCAATTTTTAAGGCTATTTTTTCTCCTCTTTTTATTCTTTTCTTTAATTAGTAATATTGAAATTTTCTATTATTCATACAATGTAATGTAACTAACCTCATTTTTTTTTCTTTAAAAGATGTCACTTTTGTTTTGAGTTTCTATTTTTGAAGATAGGTTGGACCATATATCACTTCATGAGATTATGTTTCTTGACTCATAATCTTCTTGTGTGTATGTAAATTGACTCATGAATTTGTTTTTTTGGTTGCAAATTGACCTAAGGGTTTATTAGGGTAATGTTAATGTTTGTCTTTTTTATACTTTATTTGATTGATGATGGAAGATGGAGAAAAGAAAAAAAAAAGTGATTATTTAATACTCTTTTTCCTTTTATATTATAAGTTATATTGTATATAAAAAACTGTCTTAAATTATAAATTGCTTTATATTTATTATGAATATGTCATTAATGATTTTTTTTCTTATTTTATTATTTAATATTTATTTTACTCATTACTTTTAATTATTTTCATGTGTTATTAATGAAAGAAAATTCCATAAAGTTATATACAACTCTTTTTTTTATATAAAATTAATTATATTCTTTAAATAATATGAATGGGTCAAAACATTCTATAATTTAGAAAATAGAGAGTAGTTTAACATGAAAGAAATAAAAGAAAATGATGATAGAAAATAAATACATTATCTTTTTTTAGGCAGATAACTCATTTCTCATATGCAATTAGATAGTTGAGGTGAATAAATATAAATTATTGATTTAAATTTAATTTTTTTTATAAAATATTTATTTATATTTATGTATTAATGTAATTAAATTGTTGATATATAAATCAATAATTTAACAAATATATTCTTAAATAAAAGTTAGGCATGATAAAAGTATTTATTAATTGCAATCAAAGTAAAATTATAAAATAAAGATGATAAACTATAAAAATTATGCAACGATCAAACTTTTTTAATTTAATAAATTACAAATAATCATAAATAATTGTTTTACATTAAGAAATTAATAAATAAAAATAAAGTTTTAAAATACTTATATGTATTTATACACTATGAAGGAAGAGGTGGAAATAGGTTGGAACGAGTTACATTTTGCCAAATTTTAGTCTGGTTGATAAAAAAAATCGAAACTTAAACTTGCCATGTAGTCTATCGTATACTTATTTTTAAGACTGAGACTGACTTTTTCAAATGCTTGGTTAGCTTGTTAACCTACACAAAAACATATTTATGTTAAACATATGTAAATAAGTCATTCAAATAATATTTAAATAGATTAAAAAGCTAAGAGACCAATAAAACTAAAAGTTTATTTACAATTATTTGTTTTAACTTATCTATTAACATAAATTTTGTGAGACTATTTATTTAAAAGAATTTATGAAAAATAACTTATAACATTGTTCGTAAGGTGTTTTTATTTTATTTTCATAAATTCTCTAAAATAAACAAGTTTTATTTATATATTTTAATTTAAAGTATAAAATATAACATAATAAAAAAATTATTCATTTTTATTTAAATAGGTTTGTTTGATAGATTTAAAAGATTTTTTTATGACCTCCGGCCTAATCTTTTTAATTAAATAGGTGTATAAAAAAGTCTCAACCTTTTATATTTAAAAAAAGAACATAACCTAATTTGAGCGTATGCAAACTAGACCGTAGACCCATATTAATTAATCTGTCATATTTCCATCCTAACTATGACTAAATAATTAATGCTCTATTTTTTCATTGCAAAATATTTGTTAAGATGATAGAAAAGATTTAAAAAATTATGTTTTTCTTTTTTTTTTCTTCTCTAAAATAATTTAGTTGAGTATGGAGTGACTTATCTCTATTTATATTTCTCAACAAATAAAATTTCACAATTTTTTTTAAAGGCTAAAATAGATTTTCACTCCAAAAATTATTTTTCTTAAATTGCTAAAAGATATATAATAACATAGGATAAACAATAAAAAAATGTAGTAGTAATTTCAATTTAATAATAGTTAATTAAATATGTAATATGTGATTGATATGTATTTATTAATATTTTTTCTACTTTTTTACTCTAATATATAAATGAATCAAAATATTTTTAAATGTATTCTTTCTTTTTTATTTATAAATCAATATTATAATCTATTAAATTGATTTTTTTTTATAATTTTCTTTAATGATAATTGTCGCGATGTGAAAAATACCAGAGTGCACGAACGTTTGAAATATAACAAAGTCGTCACCGAAGTTTGTTTTTTTAAATAAAAAACATTGATAAAACCGTAAAAGAATAAAAATATGGTCATCACAACCAAATTTGGGTTCGTGAGTCAGTTATGCAAGGAAAATGTATTAACACCCCTCACATGCGTTGTACTCAATGAGAACCATTTAGTTAGTTTTGCGAATATGAATGTTAGCTTACATTATTTGATTTCTTCTCATTATTACTATCTGTTTATAAAAAGAAATAAAGGGCTAAATTTTTTTTTATTATGGTACTTAACGAGACGTTGAATCTCGCTTCTACGTATCCCCATGTGTAATGAAAAACTCAACGTTACATAGTTCTTAGTAGAAAATAGTTGTGTGTTGGTTAATTTTAATTAATGATGTTTAGGTCGCATTTGAATGGTTAAACATTGCTTGTTGTTCGCGTATGGGATGTTGAAGTGTTTTTTTGTATATCGCGTTAGAATGAATCTTGTTTGATTGCATTCAAGTTGTTCAATATTACTTATTGCTCGTGCATGGGAGGCTGAAGCGTTTGTTTGTATATCGGGTCAGAATCGTTCATTTATGGTTGAGATTGTTTTTAGGTGGACGATGAATACTCCAGCAATGAAGCATACGCCAACCACTCGTTTATTCGAGGAGCAAAGAGATGTGCATACCTCATTTATTTTTCGTCTAAGTTTGAAAATTTAAAAATTATTGGCAAAAGACGAATATTCAAAGCAGCGAGGCGAACGCCTTCCACTCGTTTATTCAAGGAGCATAAGGATGTGCATCCCTATTCCCTTTTCATCCAAGTTTAATTGAAGTGTTTTGTTCGAAAGACGAATATTCGAGCAATGAAGCGTACGTCAACCACTTGTTCATTTGAGGAGTAGAAGGATGTGCATCCTCCATTCCCTTTTTAACTGGTTTTATTGAGAAAATAAATTTTGAAGACGAAATTTGATTAAGCAGAAAAAAAGACTTGATGTTGATCAAGTTGTTAAAAGATAATTTGATTTTTTTATTTGAATATAAATTTTGAAAAAATGAGTTAAAAAGATTTTTTATTTGAGAATGTTTGATTTTAGTGGTCACACTATTTTTATTTTATTTTGATTAACTAAATAATTAATAAAAATAAAATAAAATAAAATTAATGAAATAATAATTTAAAAAATAGAGGGTGCAAAAAAAAACAGGATGGGGTGTATGCAAAAAAACATAATGGACTTGCCTAAAAAAACAAACAATACTAAAAATAAAAAACAAGGAGAGGATCCAACACTGAACCCATATGGGGCGTGGCACCCAATCAGGCGCCTGAGCTCAGATGAGAGTCTCATTATTCTGAAATAGGTGATAAATAAATAAATAATGAGTGACTAGAAATGTTGTGAGAGAATCCTATCGTAAAGACATAATTAGTGAGTCGATGATGTCATGTGTGTGGTGCTTGTTTAAATTCATACAGAAACCTTTTTAGCAAACACGCATGGTCCAAGGGTTGAGGATGGCGGGATTCATGGGATTGGTGCGTGTACAAAATTTCATCAATATTTTGTGCAAAAAGGCATTTTTCATATCTAATTGATGAAAGCACCGTGATTTTGACAAGGCAACATTAGGCAGTATGTGAATATTTTACAATTTGATAACTCATAACGCTTATATATTATATGAATGGTTGGACAACCAATAGTAAACATGGCATTAACCAAACTTGTTACTTATTTCTAGAGGTAAAGGGAATTAAAGGCTAGCAAAGACGCCCAACGTCTCAAAGATAAGAATTTGAAGGATCTTATTGATAGAGTATTTTAATAGGTGAATGAAGGGGCAAATTTTTATTTGGAAGGATGTTATGTAATAAGTGATCACTTATAGAGCATGATTCTAAAAGGATGAGTGGGTAGAGGCATTAATAAGAAGGGTGATGACGTTATTCATAATATGACTT